CCAAGCTCATGAGACTTCCGAGTGGTGGGCTGCACTTCTGTCTTCATGAAGAAAATCAATAGCAGTGCTGTATTGCTCCCGCTCTCTGGCTTCCACCCCACCCTTCCCCCTGCACAGTGCACAGACTGTGTTCAAGGAAATGGGTACTCCCAGGGGAGCAAAATGGCTTTTTGCACTTAAAGTAATGATGTCACTTGAGGTCACCATGCAAACAGTTATGGATATGAAAATCTGCAGCTCTGTCAACAGAGCTGGAACCTGGGGACCTAGCTTAAGAGTTAAGAGCCTTTTTATAAAATGTTTCCCTAATTTACCAACAGAGCGTCTTCCCAGAAACAACAGCTGCTGTACCTAATTAGTATTAATCACCTTGTTACAGAAGAGCAACTGGGAATAGTACAGTACTTGAAGTACTGACAAAATGATACACTAATGGCATTGATCTGTCCAGTCTACTTCAACTTCCCCTTTATTATTCTCTTTTCTGTATGAAAAGCTTCAGAAGTCACAAGTTTTGGAGCAGACTGGGAAGTGATGATGCAGAAAAGGAGCCACAGATGGAAGTAGATACAGAGCCTTTTAGCCTACACAAGATGCTTGCTGCCGGCTCTGTCTGTGACTGCACTTCCCAGTTCTGCATCTTGACCTGAGGCAAGAGTAGTGCTAGAAGGGGATCCCTGAGCACGGCATGCTTTTGGCCAGCACTGGGATAGGTTGCCCTGCTGTGTGCTTTGTGGCTCTTTGATGGAGAGCTTTAAAACACACACCCCACCCCGGGGGGAAGGGGTAAAACACCTACACCAATTGAATGATCAAACTCAGAAGCCATGTGGGGCAGTCTGTTGTTTACTGGGATCAGAGACCTTCTGTAAAGTTTCAGCCAGAAATGCACCAATTCTGTTAAGTTGAACCTGGAGGGCTTTGTAGCTCTGACTGATACTCCTGGTACTATTCCTCTCTGACCACAGAGCAATTCAGTATCTGCCATGAATACACTGCAGCAGGCTGGAAGGCAGGAGCTAACAATACAGACATGTCATCAGCCTCTGTCCCCTGATGGATTACATCCTCTGTTCACTTCAATCTCTACCAAGATGGGGCTCAGTCACAAATTAGTTCTGGACAAGTCAGACACACCAGGGAACACCATTCTCTATGTCCTTGTGATGGTGTTTTTGCTGCTTTTTAACCCTACCCGTTCTGCTTGGTCTAAGTGAACAGCATTCCAGTAACATCCTTGAGGTGTGACTCAATTTCTCTAGCTCTGACATTATTCAGTTTTCACATACTTTTATGGCTCCTTTGAGGAGCCTTCTGAAAACAGTGCCTTATTCCCTATATAATCCAAGGAGAGGAGGTACTTACATCTAAGGCCACAGGCACCTTGGAGGGCTGAAGGCTGCTGTGGGTGTCTCTGCCTCACTCCCATATGTTCATCTGCAGACAGGCATGCAGAACATATACTGCCAGGCTCCCAGTGTGGTGAATGTGCTGATGAAGATGCCTCTGTCACAACCCCTCATCCCACCTGTTGCCTGTTTTACAGCACTCCAACCAATTTCTGCATTGCCCATTCTGTTTTAACACAAACTAAAGTCATGACTGCTAGGAAAGACAGACACAGACTGTCTGGGTAGGGATTTCAGACAAGAGACGGGAAATTAAAAATTCAAAATAGAAAAGCAGATGGCATAAGCTTCATTAAAATAATATCTCATCTCCTGGGAATGCTAGGAGGATCTGTTGCCATCTCAGTGGATGTGGTGCCCTGAGATTTTCACTTGGGGATTATTCTGTTCCTCTCTCTCTCTCCTTATCATAACTCGCCTCTGTTTTCAAAAGGTTTGTGGTATGTGCTCCATCTGGATATGGCTCCTAATAAGGATGTGCTGGAGACATCTCTTAAGCACTAATGTACACCCAGCCCCCAACCCTTGCTGTCAGAAGTCTCCTTATCAATGATCTGAAAGAAAGAAAGAAGCAAGGCTGAGCATTGCAGCTCTGGATAGAAAAACAAAGTGGGAATGCTAGAAAAGTGACAAATACATAATTAATATAGATACGGTATCAATAAAAGTTGAAAATTACGAACTGTGTGAACTCTGAGATCTCATTTCCCCTTGCTGCGAGGTTCTTTTCTTGTTGTGGCCCTAGCATCAGGCACTGTTCCATTTATGAACCAGGCGCAACCTTTAGGAAGTCACTCAAAATACAAGACACCTGTGAAGTTCTTCCTTTATCTGACCCACCTCAAGCAAACATGTAACCAAATGTATTTATTTAGAGGGGAAGAAACAAACAGCGAAAAGACCACTCAAGCAGCAGGATAAATCTGCGTGCAGTATGTGCAGTTTTCACGCTCTTTCTGTCACACTTCATTCACTGCAGCATCTGGAAGCAAAAGTTGTATCCATGCTGGGTTGGTATTTAATTGAGCTCACTTGAACCAAGCTTCCAGCAAGCACATACGACAGATTTATACACAAATCTTCACAAACTGAAAAATGACATTTATCAACCTTCCATCAGAACATCTGACATTTGAACAATTGATTCTGATTTAACAGTGAAAAATGCCACCATCCATATGGAAAACCTGCAATAGGATTAAGCCCCTAGCTGCTACCATCCCCAACAATGGCTTTGCCAGATAAGCTATTAAAAATTTATGTATCACCTTAACTTTTTCTAGCCTTAAAGAGATTAAAAACAACCCTGACAAGTTCAATGCAGAAGCGACAAAAAAATCTAGTCAGAGGAATGGGGGCCAGAGCTGGGAGATGCAGTGATTAAGCTTCTAGAAAATCAAAGAGGCTGGGCAGATTTTCAGAATAAGAGCAGCAGGAGTTGTTGTGGATTAAAGACATGTTACACTGGCCACAGAAAATACTGTAAGTCTCATTTTGCCTCAGATAACCTAGAGCTCATCTGAGTATGGCTAAGAGTAGAGAGCTGATCCAAGTTCCACTAGGTAGGTGTTCACTTCATTAAAGAGGAACAGTGTTTTCACAGAGATGTGTTGGAGTAGACTTCTCTCTGGAGACAAGGTAGGAAGATGCTTGTCAGCCTTCAGGGCAATTCCTCTTCAGCAGGTAGGTTTCACCCCCTATTATCTTCATAAGCATACTGTGGTCAGCACTGAGTTCACTTGGTGGAAAGACCAGAGGGAAAGGAGGTCCTGGCAACAAGACCTGGCCTCTACTACAAAAACTGTTCAAACACTTCCAGTACCTCTCTTTGACTCGTTATGCCACTCAGCACTGGCTAAATGAAAGAGAATGTTTCCTGTGTGGAAAAGCAGAAGTTCTGGCAGAAAGGCTAATCATTCTCCTCTATCTGATTCCTGCAAAAAAGCTGGTAAATTCTGTGGAAGTGTGACTATGGCCTGTTTTCATGTATTAGTCCATTTCAATAATAGTAACCTTACAATCAACTGATGCAGTCATCCCCAGCTGATAAATTTCAGCTTACAGAACAGTGAGTTTCTCCTGTCTTATTTTTCTCATTTCTATTATTCCAGTTTTCATGGGGTTTTTTTCCCTCTATGCTATTTCTGAGTCTTTATTGTACTTATTCCTCCCAAATACGCTCTACTAAATTTTCTTTGCTGACTCCTGCTTCTTATGTAAAAGTTATTAATGAACATATACACTAAATGACTGTTGGAGAAAACTCCATTAGTAATGTCCTTTCTTCTGATACTTTCTCCTTCAACACTACCTGATGTGTTTTGACTTCCCAAGTTTCTCATTCTAGCAGCTTTATTTACAATACTCAGACTGGTTAAGGATCTACCTCAAATTACTTTTCTATTTAATTTGTATGAATTGAACTTGTTTACCCTGAATCCAAATCTATTTTTCAATGATCTGATCTCCTAGAATGGTCTCATGACATACCAAAGTCAAATCTAAAAAAGTACCATTTCCTGTCAGGTTAGTGAATCTCAGGAGGATATTTTTATTGCCTAGAAAGTCAAGAATATTGCAGACTTACCAATAATAGCATCAATTACTCTCTAACCTGTTTCCTGGTGTTAAATTATCCAAAACAACTACTGCAGTAGTAATTATCTGTCTAGTAACATTAAAGAACTCTCTTGGCAGTAAAAAAGGATCCTGGTGGCATATGGCATGCTGGCAGTAACAATCTTTTACCAAACTATGAATTGTGCTGTCATTAACACACACTGCTGCTCCCTGCCTTTTCCTGAAAAGCAGTCACTGTTTCAGAGTATTCATGCCTTGCATAACCATCCTCAATCAGCAGCATCCTCTCAACGTTACTTGTTCTCATGTGAAGGACAGCCAGGGAACTCCTTCCCGTTCCTACTGGGAAATTTTCCACATTGCCATTTTTTTAGCAAAAAGCATACTGTTCCTTTGGCTTGTCTGTCATCAGATTCTTGAAGCTGTGTGGCTAAATAGCTGCTCAGGTTTTGGAGGCAGGACAGGCATGTGTGGATTGCTCTTGTAAGCATTAGCCTTGAAAGGAAGCAGTGTCTTGTAGTAACAGGACAATTCTGCTTCCAGAATTAAAAAATATTGCTCAGAAATAGATGAGTATTTGTGTGGGAACCTTTATGGACTTAGAAGTCCTTCATCTCATAGTAACACAGCTCTTTTTCTGGTATGTCTCAACTCCCTGATCCTTTCCCTTTTGTTGCAACTCTTCTGTCTTCTTTTTACAGTCCCTCCATATTAACTTCATTCTTTATCTAGCCAAGCCTTGATCCCAGCTTAATAAAAAACCTGTAGATCTAAAATAACTATGCCTTGCTTTTTAGGTATTGCTTCTTTTCTTTACCACGTCCATGGATACAGGGGCTTTACATGCTTGTAGGTCAGTTCCCTGAATCACAGCAGCAGAATCACAATGATAAAACTGCTCTGTGAGCTGCTTGAGCCTTGATGGCCTGCCCAGCCACATGCACAGAGATCTGCATATGATCCTGTCTTTCAGGCCTTGGATTCAGCCTTTTCACTCTCCATCAGACTCACCTAATTTCACTTGAAGTGGAGATGGCTTATAGTTCATGGCTACAGTCTCTCCCTCTCTTGTATCACAATCTCTGTCCGAAATAGCTGCAGCCGTTGGATCCTGTTAAGAAAGAACAGAAACAAAACAGAATGGCTTAGCTGATAGTTCTGCAGCTTCTTCTCTGAGTGGCTATCAGGCGACTCCACCCCTTCTCATGCAGAGGGAGCAAAGAACATGCCAGTGTTTTGAACACTGGTACCCAGGGGCGAAACACAGAACTTTGGAAGCACATTTATTATGTTAGAAGTACCTCTGGAAATGCCAAATTTCAACATCAGGCTTATGTGATGGATGATACTGGGAATATAATGTGGATGCTGGGTCACTAGTTCAAATTCCAGCCTGGGCTGGCAGTAGTCCCAAATAATTTTCACGGGATGACTCCTTGGGGTGTTGTATGAAACATATTTACAGTTTCAGATGAATTCCAAGTAGACCACTCAACTTCAAACTTAAAACGAAAAAGTTTGAGACCAGGTCTGTGTGGAAGTCCAGTTTGGAAGGACCCGAGGACTACACAGGTAGGATAATTCAATTTCTGGTCCCTCTTGGGACCTATTTCATGCTTGACAGGAAAGATTTGTCACCACAGTATCTTTCACTGTCACTAAAATTTCCCCCCTAGAAAACCAATCTCCCCAAACATATTCTGCTCCTGCCTACTGGCAGACAACATGTATTAAACTCTATGTACAGCACATCAAAGAACTTGAGAGAGAAACAATCTACCAACTCAGACAGTTCTACTACTGATAAAAATAACTGAAGTTCTTTCACAGCAAACTGCAAACCTGTTGGAACTCTCTCCACTTAGTACCATAGTGAAAATTAAAACTAGTTTTCAAACAAGTTCTTACTCCCACCTAGAAATTAAATTGAACATGCACATAGACATATGTATATGTAAATGTGGGTATATACAGGTAGAGCTGCACAGGCAAGGCAAACATTCAGCATTAGGTGCAACAGCTGAATAAACCATCACTTGTGAGAAATGGAACAAGGCATCATAAATCAAATACTAGAATACTATTCCAAACTATTGAATTGATATTGCCTCTCTTTCAGTTTCTGGAGTTTTTTATTTTGTACACAATTTCATTCATGTAAAATGCAACTCATCATTTGGCACTGACACCTGTACACAAAGCAGAGTCACTGAGTTTCAAAGCAAGGTAACATCACTCTTCACCCTAAAAAAGAAAATCACTTGTTGAGCCACTCGGTGTACATTAGCTCTTTTAATATCCTGTGCTTAGGAGATAAAATGTAATTTTTGAATGAGGCTCTACCTTGGTGGAAATAACATATGTAGGGTTACACCATTTTATGAAAATCTTGCTCCTTTGCAATACCCAGTAGACTCTGACAGTACTTAAAATAGATGGTGTGTACAAGACCTCACACTGAAGGACAATGCTGAACAAAAGACAACTTCCTCTGCTTTCCTCTAACGCAGTCACTGCTGCAGTTTTCCTCTAATGTAGCAGTTTGGTGACTAGGTAAAAAGGTAAGAGCAGGTTGCAAACCAAAAAAGCCAGCCTCCAGGGGAACATTTAGGCATAAATCATAGATCAGTTCATGTGGTATCCTTGGAACACGAGTCTGGTCTCAAACATGCCCAGATGCAGGGAATAGATCAGAACCCAAGCTGCAGGAAAGAATCATCAGGGTGTGGCTTCTCACCCTTCCAGGGGAAGGGAGCACCCAAGATTTGTAGATGCTTGTGGACAAAAGGAATGTTGAAAGTTAGAGGGTCCACAAAATTGTACAAAGCTCTGTTAGTAAATTACACACTTATCATGGAAATTGGTATATTAGTTCTTAGCCTCCTATTAAGCATCCAGCAGTGCATTTAGGATAAAGGGGGGAGGTGAAAGGAAAGGGAGAAAGAGATGAATTAAAGAGGGGGTGACCTCATTCCTACACTTGTGCTGTGTTGTGCTAATCTCCAGGAGCCACGTAAGGATGTTTGTCCCAGAAAAGTGCTGCTCCACCTCCATATGGCCCCTTCTCCAGCCTCATTCTATCCAGTGTTTTATTACTAACAATCCTTGGCTGTTACTACCAACAATCCTTGGCTGGCTCCAAAGCCACCCAGCTATCAGTGTCTGAGACATTCACATGAGCTCCCTGTCTTTGGATTTCTACAAGTGGGAACATCTAGAGAACACAAAGGACATCTCTGTCTGTCAGATGTGCTAGAATCTCTCCAGGAGGGATGTCCAAATGGTGCTAAGTGGCAACATTTGAGTCCAGGCTCCCTGGATAAGTACCTTTTCTCTGCCAATCTGAGAAAAGGCAGGATACAGCCATTTCTAAGAAACATGACTCCAAGACCTGCATGCTTCCTAGTTGCTACTGAACACAATATGGAAGTCCTGTGAGCCCCAATCTGCTGGCTGCAGGAAGGCACGGGAGTAGACATATTATGGGAACTGACATAGTGTGATGACACTGTCTCCTGTGCTGGTGCAGTCCAGCAGAGAGTACACTGAGTTCAAAGCCAGAAGTTCACATGGCAGAGAAGGGGTCTGGCCATTCCTAGACTACTCAGGTTCACATTGTTAGAATCATGCTAAAACTCTAAATCCAAACCAGCCCTTCCCTTTTGTGGCAAACTGATGTGCTCACAGTAGCTTTACCTTTGTAGGCAACCCGACCATGACGCGAGACATCAACACAGGGAGGGGAGAAACATTCTGAGGTGCCTTTGAAGATTTGAACTCTGAGCCTCGACCAGTGAACTCAGCTGGAGAAATCTCAAAAATGGGCTCTAGACCAAACACACAAAAAAGGCTTCCTAGGCCTCCAGATAAAACTAAGATGATTTTCAAAGAGTGATTATTCTCATCCTGTCTAAGACACGCATCTTAAAACGACATGAAACTGTCCTTGGAGAAGTGTTTCCTTCTCCCCACAGTCTAGAGAGAAGGCTTGGCAGCTTGTAGAGCTTCTGACACTGGAGGTGGAAATGATGCAGAACATGGTAGCAGAGTCAGCCCTAGGAATTCTTCCCAAAGGTTTGGCATGACGCTTTTCAGCCCCAGTAGCACATTACAGCTGCACAAGAGATCCACAGCTTGAACAGAGGGATCACAAACACCATCACTGTGGGTGACCACCACTGCATGGGCCACGCCCACTCCCCCCTGAGAGTAAAATGGATTTGAGAGGAAACCCAGCTGGGCCAGGGACAGTGTCCCCAGCTCCAGTAGCCACCTATCCGTGGCCCAGGAGTGGCAAACGATCATATTTCCCATCCATCACTTCACAGACATTCTGCAGCAACTCACGGGACTCCATAGTAACAATGCCCACTGTGAAAACAGCAGCATTCGCACGCCAGCTCGGCTGGAGCTGTCTCTGCACAAACACGCTCTGCTCCTGTGCATACTGAATGGATTCAGTTCTCTCTCTACAGCTCAACTGTCCAGAGAAACATTTACTTGACTGATTAGCCTTTTGCTAGTGAATGCCTAATAGCACACTGAGATTCAACACAGGCTTTTGCTATTGGAATTCACTTGGCAATTTTTTTCTTTTTCACAAGCCTCCTTACACCAATACATTCAGTTCTACCCCCAACATCAAAATCTCAGTTACATGGTGCGACTGGTCCCAGGACAGACGATGTTACTTCTTTTTGCTCACTGGAAACAACGCAATGCTCCCAAACAAAATGCCAGTGCCTGCAGGGGCTGTAGATGGCTAAAGATATTTAATATATTTAAGGGATTTTTTTTTTTTTTTTTGTTCCTGAGGCTTCTGTGTGTCTTTATTCCTAAGGAAAATATACATTCAATCAGGGCACTGCATGAACATTTGGCTGGGGCCAGAGTTTAATCAAAGTTTTTTCCCCACATGCTCACAGCTTAATTGGGCATGCACAATCACAGCATTTGAACAGTGGGGAGTTTTCTTACTAGACTGTTTGTTTCTATAGGCTCGACACAAAGGATCTTGAAAACTGCCCTCCTGCTAGGAGCAGCCATGTCCCACAGTGTGTGTACCATGTGCCATTTCTGAACATCAGAAATTAGTTCCAGTGAACCTTTGTGGAGCAGGAGTGCTGTGAATCATCAGTATGCAGGAGCACAGAGAGAAGGTGAAAACACTTCAAACTGAAATCTGAGGTTTAAGGAAGATGGCAGGCTTTTTTATTTTTTCTCTTTTAAATCACTTTCCATTTTGCAGTACTTAAGAAAGCATCAGCTGAATAGCCTTTTACTATCCACCCCTCCCAATAACCCACACTGACTCTGGGGTGGGGAATAGCACCAAATGATGGAGTTGGATGTTTGGTACAAAGTCACCCTCATAGCACCTGGGAAAACACAGCTTTCTTTGCCTTCACAGTCAACACTTCTGACCCCTTGCAAGCTTAACAAGGCCCCATTTTCCACTCTGCAAATCCTCAAGGACCCCAGTGCATGTGGAAGGGAATCAGCACACAAAATTTCTTTGGTCTTCAGCTGTACCTTGAAAACACACATGTAACTTGTGTAACTTGAGAAGTCTTTATCTGTTCCTCCTTCTCAATCTCAAAATCAGCCATACTTACACCTCTTACGCAAATGTTCTCCACTTTGCTGTCTATGGGAAATTGATCACCAACGCAGTTCTGCTGCTTTTTTTGGATAACAGCAGAGGGGCAGAATTGCCCTCATCCTCTAATCTCAAGGAAAGACCCAGTATACAAGGCTTGACCATTACTTCTCTCCACAGCACACAAGCTTCTATCTGACCACCATCAGTTGTATCAGTATGAGCCAACTGATCAAGAATATCATCCAGCTAACTTGTCTCTCTGCAGTACCCATCAATGATGTATTTGCTGTCTTCTGTCCCACTTAAAAAATGCTGTAATTCTCAGTACCAACACATGTGCGACAGTTTACAGTGAGTGCTTGAAAATCAGCAGACATCTGCTTTCTGGAGCTGCCCATGTGGATTGCATACCACACACAAATGCTTACAGGAAAGGACAAGTCCAAATGTTTTGTTTCTTTCCTACATCAAACATTGAGTATGAAAAATGGATAGATGTTCTGTGCATG